TTATGCGGTAGAAAAATTTTGGCAGTGTAGAATGATGTGTAGAAGCTACGACAAGCTATTTTGTTGAAACAGTATTGTTACTTTAGTAATAATATAACCAAGCAGCATTGTTCCTTATTTCTGAGTCAAAGGGAGTTTACTGTTAATCTTGCTAGTCATTTTATGATGTTTGATTTTGTTTCGAGCTGTTTCAAAATATAGTTCTCTATTTTCTCAAGTTGACTATCCATAATGTGGTGACTTGGGATGGGATTGTAACAAACTCCCATAAACGCTATGCTAATGAGATACTGATCTCATATCTGACCACGTCGAGGCATGTGTTCAATCAATAGTTCTCAAGAACTTGCTCGAAAGCGTCTCCTTCGGCAATCGATATGGACTGCACGAAAACGAAGCGAAAACGATGAGTACAACAAATCTGAGCGCGGGAGAAGTACGGCTAGAGTTCTGGAATGCAATCTAGCGCCAGAACCAATAAAGCGAAAACGAAAACTATCCTCCACATTTATTTTATTTTCTTATATATATAATATCTTAGGTTTGATTACTACCAAACCAGCTAGCTGATATTTTGTAAAGCGAGGAAAACGATGGTGCACTTTTGTTTCTTTGTACATGCTGTTGCTGAAGTTCCGCTTCTTTCCTTCCATCTGGATCCAAATCGGTTAAAGATGGCAGATCATCATCAGATTTCTGCAAGATTTTGAGAATCATAAAAATAGTATAAATTTACAGTAATTCGAAAAATTCAAGAAAATGCATACTGATAAGTAAATACGGGGAGTTTCATGCCATTACAAAATACGTTAGGCCATAAAAAATTAACTTTTTTGTCAAGAATAGTCTTTGTTTATTTTACCAGATTTTTCGACAAACGCGGTATGTGAGAGAGACGTGGTGAGTCGCTAAGCCTCGGAACGATATCTACAACAGCCGAGAAAGAATGACTCAGAGAAAGTTCTTTATTGACTATGATGTCCGCGAGCAAATGTGCAAAGATGATCTACAAAAAAATATGACAGCGATTCGTCGAAAAATGTTCTCGGATTCAACAAGTGAGTAAAGAATGTTTGTAATGCTAGGAATGTCACCTATAATTAATAAATTTTCCTAGTCCACTATTAGGATAAATTCGCAGTGAGTTAGTGTTGTGACTTGATGGCTGTAGTTATCAGTAATGTAACCGTTACGAAATGAATAAAATTAATACGAAATACTGCGCTAGAGGAAAAGAGTGAAGGAATTATTAAAACAAAATGAACTGACTGAATGACGTTGAGCTGCAAGACGCGCATTTTTTCCAAGTGGACCAGAGAGCAGACTCAAATCAAAGAGATCTAACTTTTGTTCAAGGAGCGGTATTAATGGATGCAAAGCACCACCAGGTAAAATAGCATTTAAGAAGCGAATGTCAAATAAATACTGAAGTACTATGCGCAGCGGTAATTCATCTTTGCAGTGAGCAACAACAGCATACACTGAAAAAAGCAGCTGTTCCAGGTTCTGAGAAATGTGCAATCGGATATTTCGAGTACACAAGTGACCAATTGAGTTCTCTGAAATCTGGAAAAAAAGAATCTCACTGAATAAAGCAAATGTTTGCTTCCTTGAATGAAAAAATAATACAATCGCTCTTTGATGTTTGATATAGACCTTAGGAGGTTGTAATTCTATTACATAGGAGATTAAATCAAGGTGTAATATCTAAATACAATTATAAAAGTTATATATAACTGAATTAACAAGCTTAAGATTAAATTTTTTTTTTGGTTTTTCCAAGAAAAGATCAATAATTTAATATGTACAATAAGATGTTTGAGAATAATTAAAAGATAAGTCTAATTAAACTACCTTTCGACACAAGTCGTACAAAAAGGCATATAAAATTCTATTGATCTGTACAGGAACTTCAACAATACCAACCTCTGGAAGCTCAACCTTTTCAAATTCCTAAAACTCATACTTTTCACTATGTAAAAACAAGTATTTGAACTACGCAAAATATTCTAGTTATGAACGGTAACACAAATAACAATACTCATTATTTCGTGTTAGCAGAGCTGCTATTAAACAACATACCTGCAAATATGGAATGAAAACAAATGGATCATTATAAATTTCTGCCAATCTGTTGATATTATTTTCTCGAGCACTGCTTTCAATGATCGAATCAAGAAAAACACTGGAAAAATAATTCAACTGTAGCAATTCAAATTTATGCGCCATTTCATGATCGTTTTTGTATATTTATGGGCATCAAAATTTTTAGCTATCCATGTCCAAAACCTTTTTAGTAACTCGTCTACCTGCACTCTAATTTATGGATCTGAGTGAACAAAATTATCCTCCTCATAAAAAAAATGCGTATTCCAGAAGTTTGACTGACTGCTAATAGTAATTATGTGGCCAGAAAAACTGAAAAATTAAAAGAAAATAGTATAAGTAAATCAATTCACCAAAATGATTTTTCAGCACTTGCACGTAACATCTTCGCACATTCGGCTACAAGGTTGCTGTTTTTTGACATTGAAAGTGAAATGGATACATTGCGTGTTTGAATCAGAGCAATATATACTCTGGCCATGGATAAGGCATGATCTGGACTTCCTGATTCTTCCAAGCCATCAAACTCGTCCGAAATGCGACACAATCTAGAAATTAAAACTCATTTAATTACTATAAATGAACATGCAATTACAATCTGTAAGCTCTAAAAATGAAATGCTTTTATCTGAACAACAATAATATATAATTAATTTCTCATTCAAGCTTGACAACATTATACATGTTGTAAAATTATATCCTTACCTCTGCAGCATTTCCTTGACAGCACCTGAAAACTGACTGCAGAGATCACAAACTGCATTTTCTTTACCAATTGATTCATATTCTTTGATCCGATCTATTAAGAATCGTAAACCATTATCCAGTTCCTTTATAATACTGTAACGGACGCATGAAAATTAAACCTATTTAAACTAGAAATAAGCTTCACTAAAGTTTTAGAGTCATTATTATCATAGTAGTATCCTTGCCCTGTGTGGACATGAATAAAATGTAACCTTAATAACTCATGTGAAACGCCGGTAGCTAAAACTGAATCAAATCTGGGAGTGCGCACTTTGAATAACGCTGGCGGATGACAAGAAATTCTAGGAATTCTTTCTACAAGGTTTCGCTCCAATGTGATTAGTTCACTACTTATTAATTCCTTAATAAAAATATATATACACTTTTACACAGTTCCAGTCCAAATGAACCAGATGTAACTGAATAATGAAAGCACAGCTCTTCAAACACATCATCAAGCAGTTTCTTTTAAATAAAAATTACAGAACATAATAATTATAAATCTGAAATTTCATGAATATTGTACTTAAGCATAACTCCAGCGCAAAAACAGACCTGGAACCTTTTAATGATCATATCTCCAAAAAGTCGCTCGTAAACTGTCACACTCTCTCCAACTAAAGGCCAATTCTGAAAAACAGAAATGAGTAAAAGAAATCTTTGGTTGACGAAATCTTAATATCGAAACGAAAAAAAACAAACTTCATATTACTTAATGATGTAGAAACTAGATGTTTCAAATTTTGAAAAGAAGAAATAACAATTTATTGACAAAAATGGAAAATTTAAACTTATCTTCACAAAAGCTTCTAGAACAATCTTTAAAAAATCAATTAATGAAGATACATTGCCTATCGCACTACATTTTAACTTGACAAGATTATGTGATACCGAACAAATACTGAAATGACAGAATACATTAAACTAGTACGTCAAAATTTTCAGACAGTGATGTTCCAACATGCAGATTGAAATTTAACCAAAATAGTCTTACAGTCATAGAAATATCTTAAATTCCATAGTATAATCTTCATTTTTTAAATGTTACATACACTACGATGGAACTGACTTTTCTAAGAATGACATGCAATTTTTGATCAAAAAATCCTGATCGATAGGAGTCAAGATTAGCTGTCGACAATGATTATTCGTTTCCATAATTTCTTCTTTGATACTTTTTCCAAAACAGAATATCTCATCACCCATCAATGTCATCAGTATTTCTATAATCAGGTCTATAATCATTACCATACTTACCTCTAAGACACAAACTTTCGAAAAATGTTTAGAAAAAATCATCACTTTTAGATCGACTTCTTATTCCACAAAATGGATACCAAATTTTTGTAAAAATGAAATATTATGACTTACTGAAACCCATACTATTTTTAAAGGAAAGTGCATGTAAAAATCATTTCCATACCTGGTACCCAAAGAGGGGAAGATATAGTCCGTAGCGTCGTAACTAAATAGTCATCGATGAAAACCTGTTGCAAACATTGAAATGTGCTATGCAGATGCCAAACCAGATCAATTATTGATAATGAACTGTTTAGTGCTATCTTGATACTTGCCTAAAACACCTAATTATTTAAGTAATTACTATGAAATGTTTATGTAGAATGTGAACTTAAAATTGAAAAATTTGTAAAATTCAAGAAACACAGTCATTTAAATTCCTAGTCTCATCAAAGTCACGCAAACTTTTACCATAAAATATTTAATGACCCTTCTTTTTATTTTCCTTTCCATTCATTTACTGAAAATTCTATTATCTCAAATTTAGTGAGCAATAAGGTTTGCTCTCATCAGTAAAATAAAACAAACCACTTTTTGCTCAATGAACATAGTCAATAATTCATTGCTTGAACATTTTTTGAGAATAACAACTGCGGCCAATTGATTAATAGTTTCAGCTATGGTGGGTGCAATACCCAAACCAAGCAAAAATTTGTTTTCAAGTTTAAGACGTTTCTGGACAAGTTTCCTTGACATCTGATGAATCAAGCATGTAAATTTGTTTGATGGAGTTATTGTGATAGACAAGTGACGATGTAGTAGCTCCGTAAGCACCAAGATAAATGCATCTGACAAGGGATCACTTTTACCGATCTGAAAAATGATAATGAATACATGATTAAATTCAGTACCAAGTTAGATATAGGCTCAATCAAAAAATTGCCTTCGAGCAGGAAAACAGGAAATGGAAAAAAAGGGGGAAAAAAGACAAGTACAGCCAAAGTGCCGGAATAGGATCCAGTGCCAGAATCAATAGAACAGAAAAAGAAGACTAACCTCTATATTTTCTTTTCTATATATATAACTTTCTATAAAAAAATTTCATGCTAAAGATAACAAACACATTAAACAAGAACTATAATTACTTACATGAAGAACTACAATAGATGTAAGATAATATACAGATAAAAGACAGCAAATTTTTACCAGTAAATGCAATCTTATCAATGCTGACAGTTGACAGAACTTTAATGCCAATGCAGAAGGTAAGGAATGCGATACCCGTCCGAGACCAATATCCCGAACATCGCGAACTGATTTAGCCAATGAATCAGCAATTTCAGTTACGCGTCGGACTGAACTAGACGCATCTAAGACATCTCGATAACGACGACCAACCATCTGTCGCATTTCCTCCTTTTGATCATCCATTTCCTTACTTTATGACCAAACAAATATTAAGAAATTCAAGTTGCCCAAAAGACTAAGCCTAGTCACCTGATTCACTCCAAGAAGCCATAAAGAATAAGAAAATTTTGAATCCTTTTTTTTCAATATTTAGTACGAAAAGGAAAGGATTAGTTTGTCCCCTCAAGATGAAGTAGAAATTGTTTTAAATTTTTACCAAAGTTTAGAGTGTATATTTTGCAACTGGTCAATTGACAAGTCTTGCATCAGGCGATCGACATTCATTGCTACTCACGTCTATCTTTTACCCTCACCAAGCACTGAAGATTAAAAAGTTTTGAGATAATACATCTGAAGTTCAGCACCTAACAGTAATATCTATTAACTTAACTAGAATAATTAACAGCCCTGAAAATAAATTAGATTATAACACTATATGTTGAGTTCAAGATCGTTAATCTTTTTGAGAACAAACTTCTTTAGTCAAAAACTGTATATTTTATATGCTTTATCTAAAAGTACACAGCAATAAGCACACAAGACAGATCCCCTTTATTCTACTGCATTATTTAAGTACATGTATTCCCTTGAAGAAATTACATATTCTGATTTATACAGTACTGGATACACGAACAAATTACGTATACCCTATACACTGATAAATCAGAATATGTGAAGCTACTTCCGATGAATATCTTCAAATACGTAACCAAATTCTAATAATCTCTCATCTCAATGAAAGTAATTTCCCCTAATTCCATATCATCACATTTGATCGCAGTATTTAAAAAAAAGAACTTAAGACAAAGAAAAAAATTAGAGATCCTTCAACTAGAAAGCATCTAAACCAACAAATCTAAATAACCGACAAATTTTATAAACTTACAACGAAAAGTAATGTAACGGCCAGTATAAATTAGTATTGAAATAAGTGATTTTGAAATGTAATCCAAACCTACTTAAGACTTTCAAGAAATTATTTATTATTATTACTTTATTCTTCATTCCTTAACACTTTAATTATAACGATAATAAAATTTCATGATTAGTTTATGCGTTTATAGCATACAACAAAATATCTTGTTAAAAACGATGAACAACGCAAGAACTAAGAGTGTGCAATAGACCATGGATATGATTTTTATCCTGTAATATATTTATAGTACTTCACAAATACTACAAAACAGAGTTACAACTATAAAAATTGCTTTATAACATGACAAACATTTCATTAAATTTGAAATTTCTTGAATCTATTAATTAGTGTCCGACTTCCCCAACTTTACCAGAAACCTGCAAAAAAGCAAACACAAGAAAGTGAAACATGAAGGACCTATATATATGAGATATATATTTACTAGACACTTCACGTAATATAACTATTAAAGTAATCAAATACCATCAGCTGCATTTTCATGTCAAAAAATTATTCCTGCGCTTTCAGCCAGCAAACATTATGCAGAAAAAAAAATCATATTTTTATGAACGAAAGAAAAGATAAGATGTGAAACTTACTCGCTTAAATTCTTGCATATTAGTAGCTGAAAGTGGGGTCCCATAAAAACGAAGGGCTTCGATTACAGTGTTTTCCATCCCACCTTGATTATCCTCCACAAATAACTGAATATTTTTTACATTTTGAAATTTGACATAACGAAGATTGTACAATTCTCCTTCAGTAATCTGGAAATTCATATACAATATAATGAGCATCTTCTTCCGGGGTTCATGCTCTTTCTCAATATTATTTGATATTCTCACTTCCGATTTCAACAAATATATTTGAAATTATAAGATAGGTTACGGCACATTTTTTTTCCGCACTGTCTTCGAATTATCATTGTTTCCCGATAAAAAATTTAAAATATCTATACCTTTTCCGAAAATGCAATAGTCTGCACACTTTCAGCACTGGCTGCTTGATCAAAATCAAGAACGCTTGGAAGATTAGTGAAAATCTTCACTGTTTTTGGTGCGGACTGACTATTGCCTTTTAAATAAACTGAATGCACTTTCACTGGTTGATTGAATGGAATTGATATAATCAGTTGAGGGTCACAATCAGATCTGAGGACACTTTCACCGACCAGAAGATTCCTAAAAGAATTTGGAAAAAAATATTCCGACAAACGAAAAAGTCTTAAATGACAATATGTAAGTCTGAGTATAACTAGTATGAATAAATATAACCTAATTAAATTCGCAATAAAATTGTTCCATAAAATGAAGATAAATTTTATATAGCTTGCAAAGCACCTGGAATAACAAAGTTTTGTCAATTAGGAATTAAAAGTGCATTAAAAGTCGTGAAACTCAAAAAGTCTGAAAAAAAACTGTGACAACAAACTTTAATGTCGCATTATCATCTTCGTTCAAGCATTCTACTTGTTTCTTATCAACAAATGTAATGAGATCGGTTTGACCCGAGACTAAACTATCTTCTTTAGGTGCATTAATCGACCATTTCTGTACCAAAGTATTCAATGCTGATGGGTCAGCACCGTGTAGAACGTCGACTTTAACTCTAAACTTTAATTTTTAATCACAAAGTAGTGAGAATTAAGCAATATAGATAGAAAAAACTTATTCTGGCCACTTAATTCCAGTAATTAATGTATATAATCTACAGCGTTCCCAATCAATTTGAATGCATCTTCATCCTTTGACATTTTATTGCTTGCAAAAATACTGAAGTGAACTACTAATCCTTATTTAATACAGATCTGGAAATAATGTTTTACTTATTCATATATACAATAAATGTAGGCATTGCTGTAACTCCCTGCTGTGTCGAAAGATCCTTAGCCTTATCAACATCAACCTTTAAGAACATAACATTTGAATACTTATTAGATAGTTGCTCGAAATTTGGTGCAATCTGTCTACATGGTCCACACCTGCAATTTAAAAATTAGTACCGGGAAAAGACTTACACCACTATTGAATACAAGTGAATAATCACGAAAACTACCATCACGTTACATAGATGTTGCAAAATTTTTGGCTACAAAGTGCAAAATTTAAGAAAATAAAGCTAGCGACTAAAAATTTGTTGTAAACAGAAAACAAATAATCTATGACAGTGTTAATCAGTCATTTCATAACCAACCATCGCAAAAATTAAAGTGCCCAAGTTTAGAATCTCACCAAAGAGCGAAAAAATCAACAATAACAGGCTTTAAACCAGCAGTCTCCAAGAATCCTCGGAATTCTGCATCCGAACTACAATGATGAACAACCATGACTGTATCCAAACTGAAAACTTTAATATATCTCATTAACCATGCTTTATGACTGAACTGCTAAATGACTGGTTATGATGCTTGTATGAAAAATTTTCTTATATCCTTTAGTTCAAATAAACGTAATTATAACGACTTCATTAATCCCTCTCGGAAGTAGTCCTTTAATACAAGAACAATGATCAAGACATGTTGCAGATATTTAAACAAAAAACTGTGTAAAACACTGGACCACTTGCTTCCTTCCATCTTTACTGACAACACATTTAAGTATGTTTTACGGTCTTTGCTCATTTTTTTCTGAATCCACGCGATACATGCAACAAAACATTAATGATTTCTAAATTTGACAACACATCTGTAACTAGAGAACAAGGAAAAAAAGAAAAACGAAGTAAACTAAGAGCATTTTCTCTCCCGTACAAAAAAGTACAAACATAAGAAGTCAAAACAATAATGACTCTTTTCTCAAATCACAAATTACAAAAATGAAGTGCCAAACTCATTTCGCTAATACTTTTTGCATATAAGCAGCACTTGTATGAAACTTTCTAGGAAAGTCAATATAGAACCACTTCTAAATACTTAAAGAATATAACAAAGAAATATATGGCAGAAAGTCAAAAAATACAGCAACGCACGAAAACTGAAATAATGACATATGAAAACTCAATTGTATAGTGCTTCAAATGATTCATTTCAGAATAAAACTGATTGAAGCACACCGCCATCAATTCTTCTAACTGTAGAAATCATAAAGAGAATCTTTTTTAAGTATAACGGAATCTAGTACTATTGGCACATGAATGTTTAAAATTCCAGCTTAAAAAAACAAAAATGATGACTAACTATACCCAACTAATCCCATGCTACACTACGTAAATGCCAACACCCGCGTCACCAAGTATACTTTTCTACACATGCCCAGGCAAATTAGCAACCTTGGAAGTCTAAAAATTTCAGTTTCATATCATACTAACCAAGTTTAAATCAATTCCATATTAGAAAAGAAAGTCTCATCAACAGCTGCATTTCAGGGAAAAAAATAAAAATGATTTTATGCCACAAAACTATCTAATAGATAACAAATGGTCGTAGATGACAGAAAGCGTAACATAAAAGAACAATAAAAAATTACAAATCAAAAAAACTATATTTGGAAATTACAGAAACTATTATTGATGAAACTGGAGTCTTCCGTAAACATAAAAAGTAAAAAATTAGCAAAACCAATCACGAAGTCGAAAGTAGAAAGGAATAAAAATGCACTAGTTTTATATGAAGGCTCGAAGTATAATACATAATAATTTGAAGCAAAAATATTAACTTTACAATCTCAAAACTTCTAAGAAAAGAAAGTAGCTGCTGTACTTACAAGGATATGAGCGAATAACTACACTTGAAAATATTAAAATTTTAAGACAAATATCAAAAAAGCGGCAATCGCATCAACGAGACATACTTGAACTCAGTAAGATTTATTTTTTGCTCACTTAAGCTCAGCTTGCTTACCAGTACTAAGCAAAAAATTATGAAAAAATCAATCACTAAATGAATTACCAACTATCATAACAAAAATATACGTTAACAGAATATGACACACAGAGTAACTACAAAAAGCACTTATTTAATTGATCTCGAACTGACCCGTTCAATACTAAAAATGTATAAATTTTTCGATTGCAGACGCATTTAAAATAACAAGACAAAATTTAGTCAATTTTGAAAACTATTAAGATTCTTGCCTCTTACTATTTAACAGTTAAAAATTATTTACTCATATTTAGAACAACTAATGACACATTTGCAAGTTTCTATGTGGAAATTTCCAAAGAAAATGACTACAATTTCCAAAAACATTCAAAGGATCAATGTGGAATGTTCCGTTAAATTTCGACATCCAGTAACTCATACGAAGTTCACTTCTTGAGGTGGTTACTTCAAGCACTATAATAAGCTTTTAGTAATTGAAAAGAAATTGAAATCAAGAGTTCACGACATTAAAGTTCTATGTCAACCGCATACTTTATCAAGTAACCAACTCATAGATAATCTAGCATAGAAGAATAACAAGACGAAAGGTCTGCGAGTAAACTTTAAAACAGACACATAATGTAGCAAATCACTATACTCACTTCTCACTGCTCAATAATTTGAGCTTCCAATGTTGAAATTTTTTGTGACATTTCCACTCGAAATTTGTTCATTTCCGTGCGTATTCCTTCTAACTGTTCAAGCAAACATTGATATTCACTACGTGTCACAAAATTGCCACTGCCATCGTTGTCTGCATTTTTAGGTGGTGGATTCTGATAAGTTTTCATTGATTTTACTGCTGGTACTACAAACAACGATAGTACTAAATAATAAAAAAGTAATAAATACAAAATTAAGTTAATCATGCTATTCCTCATAGAAAAGCTATCTAGTGCTTTTAAAGATATAGGCAAAATAACATTAAGTGTTGCAAATAATATAAGTTTAGCTTAAAAGGGAAAGAGCAAGAATTATGAATGACTTTTCACTTTAAATCAACATGATTATTACAAGGCAGGATTAATACTATATTTTTTTTACACCGTTTAAATGAATAGCACAAAATAAAATCAAATGCCAAGCGATCTCGATTGTGCATATAAAAATTAAAAAGAAACCTGGCGACAAAGAATGCGGTGGAGAAGTATTTGTCAAATAAGGTACAGCCATAGGTGATACACTTCCCAACTCCTTTATAAGTGCGGTATCGTCGACTGCATTTTCATTTGATTTCTGAAAATTATAGGACTTTCAGTGAATTAGCATTCAAGTGAAAAATATTTCCACTTTTTTTGAAACTTAAATGCCCAAAACTTGGTTGTTTTAGATGCCGACGCTATTTAAAGTATTTGTAAGGACGAAAATGTCAGGGGTAATGTCAGAAAATTCATAAAATTGAACCATTAATTAAATTAAAACATAAAAAATAAATTAATATTAAAAAACAACAGAATTTGGATCAGTAACATTTTATATGAATTCTACCTGATTAACACCAATTATCACTTAATCCTAGTTCATAATTTTGTACTCAAAATTACAGTACAATTTTTGTGCTTGAAAATATGTTATAGCTCACTTAATTCTGCAATGATTATGATGAGACTTCAAAAATAATTATGGATGATGAAAGTAATATATGATTAACTACGAACTCCTTCAATGTAAAGTTTTATAAAGTAAGTGAAGAATTAAATGAAACAGGTTAAAAAAACTTCTGATCGCAAACCATTCTCAGAATAGTAGATGGAGGTCTTTTGTTCGGCTGTTTGGGTCGAGTTGTCGTGATGTGTGATAAACGATCACCAGGTCGTATTTCGACAGCTGACTTTTCTTCTGTTTTCATACTCTAAACAATACTATGAGGATGAATCGCTTAACGATTTTTATTTGTGCTAAAAATCAGTACGATTTTTCTCCTAACTGTGGTGTCACTGTCTTAGCTTTATAAAATGATTGTACCCGGTTAGAGAATTGTTTTGGAGGTTTTGTGAAAGCATCTGCGAGACTGGAATGCATTTGCGCAAACACTGATGACGTTGTAGCACGACGAGTTGAACTCGAAGAAACAGCTGCTGATTTTGGTGGTAATTTCACTGGCATGTTTGGTGGAGGAGGCATCTGAATTTCGTTTAATTTCCACAAATTTATAGTTGAAATTCTAAAATTTATTAACATTTCACTACATATTGTTATGATGAACAGCAAGAATCGTTGATTTATTTTCTTCATGAATTGTTTAACACATTGAAATTTAAGACCGAACCATCTAATATTCTTCCTAAATCAAATAAAGTTATTTAATAGGAACTTTCAAAAAGGTTACTTTATGGCTTTCTTGATTTCTTGGACAAACCGAAGTTGAAGGCCTTAAGATCTCAACAAAACCATCGGGAATTAATCCTCGTTTACCATCAACTTCGGCTACAAACCAACCGGCATCTTCGACCGATTTACTTACAATAGTAACGACTTGACCTACTTCACGAAGAGCAAGTTCATCATCATGTTTAGGCGAATAAGTGAAAAGTACGCGAGCTAAAAATGTTATTCATTCACTGAAGTTTACTAAAACTAAATATGTGTAAACCAGCAAAAAAACCTTTAAAAATGTGAACTAAACAAAGAAAACTATAGTTATTTTCTTCGTTTAAATCACTTTTTAAATAGTAATCCAACAGTTTTTATCATGTGAGCTTCATTGACAGAACTCTCCAGTGCAAAATTGTTTAAATTTAGAGAGAAACCATTTTCAAAGCTCGTACTACAGTGTGATCAAAAAATACAATACAATCGAAATCAAACTTTCACTGCCGAAAAACTGTTTAAATAGCATATGACGTAAACTATGTATTTCTGCATTCACAATTGTTGAACTCATCAGTTTTCTTATTAGCTTTCTTCATTTACAAAACTTTGACACGATAAAATACTAATTTCTTCCACAACGTAATAGTGTTCACTGCAATATTAGAGAAAACAGATGCTAAAACCATGAAACAAAATGTTTAACGAAGTGAGGACAGCTAAAAAATGATGAATATCCCAAAATTACAACAAACTACAATCTATATCACCAAGTATTCACTGAAATAATGATGCACTGCATTTATAAACTGACTTCTGAAAAGCTTCCGGTGCATTAAACGCTGAGCACAAAAGTTGATGCATAGTACTGTTTCTGTCAATGATTTTCTTGGGTGAGATAACATTTTTTAAAAAGCACTACTGCCCGAGAGATACAATAAACAATCATATAAACTTCTGAATAAGCTGAAAGAAGAAGACTATATTCATCAATCCAACCTGCATATATACTTAAGAGTACTAACTAATGACTTTGTTTTCATTGCGAAATGGTTTGTCACTGCAACGTTACGTGATTAAAGGAGGCTTTTACAATGAAAAACATAAATTGCAACTAAAAAACATGAGTAATGCGACGATAATATTAGAGTTCATAATTAAGCTTGGGACAGCTAGAAATTCAAGTAACAAGCGGAGGTAAATATGATGTACTTTTCTTTATTTCAATGTTATTTAATAAATGACTTAGATGTACTGAGGTATGCTTTTTTTTAAGTCCAGAAAGAATCATAATACACATAACACTTTATATAATAATGAATAATGTTCAAATAATAATAACAAATATAATGTGACTCACCGGGAACATAATCATCCGATTTCTGTTTGATATCAGCTGGCTTGCAACTATCATTATTATCCGTCACATTGTATGAAAAAAAAAATTATTTCAAAGCTATATTAAGTGTTATTCTTCATTAGTTAATGAAAAAACAATTTTTGTAAATATAATCCCATGCATATATTAAACTTGTACGAAAGAACTAATTGGCGTAACTTTCGAAAGATAAGAGAAAACTCCAGAGAAGAAACTAAAGTAAGCTACGAGAAACAAAATACTATCAATGTCACATCTTACCAAGAAATTGCACAAAATTAGTAGGAAATAAGCCTATTTGACCCGTACTGCGAAGTTCGCCTTTCATCCATCCTGCTTCTGCCTCCTCCAATACGTCAATCACATCATTCACTTCCAAATTAAGCTCATCTTCATGAGCTGCTTTGTAAGAGTACTGTACTGTGGCTGAACGTATTGACATGGAATCTGCTGAATGGAAAATAAGTTAAATTCATCTGAGATGTTGAACGCAAATAACTCACAACAGGCTTCTACTTCGAATATCTAAAGTATTTCAAAATGTGAAAAATATTTTATAGCTAAAAAATATTTGCTCCAACATTCAATTTTTCTCACAGTCCTTAAATAAATCTTATTTAGGTTGTAGGTCATGCATACAATCTTATTCTACTTCGTGTATCATGATACAGTGAATAAACTATGCTATTATACTTCCTCAATGTAAATCCACTACTCAAATTACGACTACCTTTGAGTGACAATATTTCTGCAACAAATGAGAGCAAAAAATGTTGTCAGACAAAGGACCCAAGAAGCTAGGATAAATTTTAAAATAGGCGAATAATATTGTGAATTTTGATAACAGAGCTTTAAATGAGTAAACCACGTAAATTATTTGATTTACAATTACGGTTTACAGAATAAAACATCTAGCCATACAAATAAAATTACTGTTTGATGTGAAATTTACTTTTAATAGTAAAACGCCAAATAAACTAAAGAAAACAAAACAGCAAGACAAAAATAATGTCGAAATACGAATACAGTGTATCGGTAACTGTTCTACTTTGGGAAATTGAATCTAGAAAGAAGAGAATGCATTAAAAAATCTGATTATCAGATATGAAGTATCATCTATTTCATACCAGTACATAAAATAACAATTTGAGAAATTATGGAGAAATGACGTTACAATAACATACAGGATCAAGAATAGACCTTTCACGATACGATTTATGTGAGAAATACATTATCTCCATCCTCTTTTTTTCCAAATATCTTTTTAATATTTCTAAATGAATCATTTTGTTTAAAAGAACTAGTTATGTTGTTATTCCTTCTGATCTTAAGCAATTTCATCTCTTTTAATATCAAATAGAAATGAATTACAATATCATAAAAAAATGAGCACAAATGACTGTCACTCTTGGCGATACTGAGATGCTGTTGAAGTCAAGACTACCTTCTTTATTTTTAATAAGTCTTCAATGAATTACTGCTCGTCATTCCTGACAGCTCAAAAAATCAAGAATCATTCAAAATTTGTATATCGGAGTATGAAGATCTGCATATCTCAATTATAAATTCAGTAATTAAAAGCAGATTTCTAAGCAAAAAGTTAATAATAAATGAATTACGGTACTCTGTAAAATCAATAGTCGTTGAACCCAAGAAGAATCTTGTAAGAATGGATAATATTATGCAGGAGAAAATGAAATAAAGAATTGCCGGTGTTATTATTTTTGCATTTCAGTAATAATCCTGAGTCACATACTTATTTTTGTCTGCTGCTATCAAACTTCATCAGTGAACAAATTTTTTGCAATCATGTCTAGAAAGAATTCAACAAATAATTTTTCAAACAGCAATTTTTGAATAAATATTTAGGGGGCATAAAGTGCTATGTAACAAAGCTATCCCAGCTCCTACAAATAATTTGATAACAAAACTGATGCCCAGAAAAGTTCAAGGAAATCAGAATAAATTACGATCTTCCTTGTTTACATAGAGTTACGTAAGAGAACAATATAACTGATAATTTCTGCTGAGCCACGTCACCATTCAAAACTTATCAGTGTATAAAAACGCCCACATGCTATCAAAGTAACAGATTTGGCAATGCCTCAAAATAACTTCTCCATAGTCTAAACGCGAAACTAATGCTTTAATAATGAGGCTTCGTAATAAATTCTACTCCCACCTCATTTAATTTACCTCGCTCTATAATTTAATGCAGAATTTTTTTCTTCAAAAAGAGAAAAAAAACAAAACTACAGATGTTGAATTCTATTACGTTCTGGGACGGCATTTTCCATCATTTCCTGAACTTTCTTTGACCACAAAAACAAAACTGTGGTCAAAAAGGCGGTCAAAAATTTCGTGAGCAATAAAGTTAGAATCAAAACTGTGATGTAGTATAAATTTCATTTTGCTCACAAAAGCAATGCCTGACCTTAATTGCACAGAATACATTGACCATAATTATTTGGAACTATGTTCTAGACATTATTATATGATGAAAGATGTCAGACCAAACATCTGCGATGAATTTCAGTTCTATTTCCTGAAATATTCAAAACCAGTAAATACATGCATCATTCATTATTCCTCGACTCATACTTGAACATCTCATTCATCCTTCGATGAAATAAGAAATATAATGCGGTGCAACGAAATGAATCCATTAGACAATAAAATCCCAATACATTGTTTTGAAAGATTAAGGATAAATCTATTCTTGATTTTAAAAAATACTCAAATAAAATATTCAGGAAATTTTGGTCTTTAATAAATACAAATGCCTTACTAATATTTACATACATACAACAATATGAAAATTACAGCAAAACTTTCGTCCAGAACTAAATCTTATTGTAATTTACACCATACAGATGCGTCATTTCCCTTAAGAGTATACAGAATAAAACTTCACATAATTATGAATAAATAATAAGTTTACCTGCAACATTTTAGACATTTAAATATTATTTTTATGTCTAGATTACCAAAAAGATGACAAGAGATAAAATTTAGTAATCCAAAAAAGTTAAATGAATTGCACACTTCATAGAGTGATAAACATGTTAATAATTACATTTGTGAAGCTAAAAATCATTCCCAAATAATGAATGGTGTAAACTTAAGCATTTTTTTGAACAAAACTGAGCAATCTACATCAATTTTTGTTGAAATAATCCTAAACAAGCAGTGATACCATCAACAGAGATCAGAAGTTAGAATTTTGTAATCACAATTTTATCTTGGCCATTATTTGTATCTCATTACATTTTAACACCAATTTTAGTCTCTATTTATTTTAAATTAGCATCTTAGCAACAACAAACGAATTAGCACACCAAAAACCCCTGTATTTAAAATATGCTCAGTTTATATTCAATTCTTACTAAATTTACAACTAAATTACTCACCATTTCGTCGAAAGTTTATTTCTGTAGTTGATGCCGCAGCTGTTGTCTTATTGAGCTGTGAGAGATCTTTACTCAAGCGATTAACCAATTTTGCTACATTACCCGACATCAGTATCTATAACAAACAAAGCTGACCCACAGAAATGAAATTATGCTTACAATGTTGAGATAATCTATTCTCCGAAAGAGATAATAAATCTCTTTGAAATGTAAAAAATTTGATGTGATGAAAATAAATTTCGCGAAAAGAGACGATTTATTTGACCCAAATTCATTTAATATTCACTTTTCATTTTTGTTTTGATTAAGTGAGATGGTCTATTTCATTTTACTTTATATACTGCCAAGCTACTTTGTACGCAATACAATTTCAGATATTACAAATACCATGACAGGACAGTGCAATTAAGATTAATCATAAGTTAAAGTTTTAGATTTAATTAAGAAATGTCTACTTAGGTCCATTAATCACTCGAAAGATTTGAAAACGCGATTAATTCTGAGTAAGTCAAGAAATTAGAACGGCCACATCATTGCATTTGTAGGTCATGATTAATCTAAACACCACTGATGGATATATACCACGATAACATTCACAATGAAAACAAGAACAAGAAGTTGCCTCATTTATGTTCTCACAGACATATTCTGCCATTATGCTTATTCAAGACATCTTCAAAAATTTACAAACTTTCAAAAAATAAAATTTCCGCAATTTCTAAAAAAATACTTCCAGAATCAAATATGTTTTAATAAAATTACAACTATTCCAGTTAAGCTTTGCAAGTTTTGTATCGTTGACTGATTCGCATAACAGCGTTAGTCATGGGAAAAATCTCATTTTCTTCCACACAATTTGAACATTTTGCTTTGAGAAAACTCGAGTCAAGAATAATGAAAAACTGCAACAAACGGAATTTTTTTTAGTCAATGTACAGGAAATCTCAGAGAAAAATGCCTTTAATTTTGGAAACCATTAATTTATAAACCTCAGCAAAGAGATAAAATTCCTCATATAAAGTTAGAAATCACACCTATCAATCTTAATCACCTCCACACTACTTCCCCAAGTCAGGAAGAATTAGTCAACCAGAAAAATACAGCAGTGAGAAGAATACAATCGGTTAGCAGATCTTTGGATTGTGGTTCCTTTTACGGTCCCGAACAAATCAATTAGGAGCGAAATGATACATCTAAATCTCAATGGCGTACTAAGACATTAAATAGTCACTTGTACTGCACAAAAGGTTACTTCAAATCAAATCTAGCTTTTACTGAGTGAATTCTTTTTTTAAATCATGACCTATGTAAATGGAGCGCTTTGTAATACAACTCCCAGCCCCAACATAATGCAAGCTCTTCTTCTTTGTTGTACATTTTCAACAACTTTACAACCATGGCAATTCATTTCTAACAGATATGTACCTCACTTGGCTCTCGATATTATTCACAATCCATTCTCTAAAGGATTGGTGAGCGACCTGACTGTCATTCCATATGACATCAGAACCAAGCAGTGCTTTCAAAACAGTGAGGACAAACAACAAATCTAACTTTTCTACATTCGCTGTGTCCGGAATTGGCGCTGATGGTCGGAAACTGCCAAAACATAATTCAAAATTGGCCATGAAATTTCTGCGTATTTTTTATGAATTTCTTCAGCAATCTTTCTAGAAAAGTTTAACAGCTTAGTCGCAGCAAGTCGCACCTTTTAACAGGTTTGCGTGTCGTTCATCTTACTTCATGCATTCCTCAAATTACAAGCACTTCTTTCTGCAGCAGTGTTCTTTACCGTCGTTATTTTCTCTCTGGATTGTTCCTCGACTGTTCATAGTCAGTGAGTGAGTACTTTAGTTCCCTGTAATCAATGATTACTTCGCTTTCTGAACATCTTTTTCGTTCTTATCATTGAAGTACCATCAAACAGCAAAAAGCCTTCCTCATACAAGTACAAACAACGAGTTACTTGCAGCTGGATGCACCCTGTCACCAGGTTTTGGAACCGCGGCTTTTGGTATCAATTGTCTAGCAATTTGAGTTCTTGATTTTATGATTCATTGCATGTAATGCATGTGATGCTAATTTGTATTTGAGAGCAAAATGAGTTTACAGAAATTGCGTTTAAAAACAAAATATATTTGACAAGCAGTGTTGAGAATTGATTACGGGACAACCATTTCACGAGTAAGTGAAAGATGATGACTAACTCGCTGCTAAGCGTAAATAAATTGAGACCAGTGATAAAAGATTGCTGCATGGCTGTGCAACGTTTGTTTGCATCTTGCAACTTACAACTTGCAACCTCTGATCAGTCGCACCACACCCATTCAAAGTGATGCACAGATTTGCTCACATTGCAAGCAACAATCACATTGCATTGACTTGTCGACTTGTTACTACCCGCACTCGCGAACACTAACAACATTGTTACTTTTTATCAGCACTCGCGAACACTAACAACAAAGATTTGTTCATACTTATACCGCTAGAATACGAGCTTTTCAAACAGATAATCATTTTGTACTGTCCATTCGTATACTTCTTGAAATATACTTTGTTTCCTATTGACAGTACTGCTAAAGTTCTCATGCCTGTAGACTTCTGAATGCACTTTGTGCTAGAGAGCATAAAGACTAAATGATTCCAAGTATCAGAAAAATCAAAGCAGATGATAGTGTATCTTTGAGTATATAAATGTCAGTAATTATGGTAGAAAAAGATAAAGTATTCGCTCGAATAAATCGTTAATGATTTTCATCAACTTCGCCTAGTTTTTCTCAGTACTAAAATCCTCCAACTATTCAGCATCCGATGAGACGATGGAAAGGAAGAACATGATGACTCCCTGAAAGACTGACCTCATTCCGTCAGGGGTCAGTAATAAGTTTTAATAAGAAACAAATCAAGACGCTCAACTACTTATCCTATTTTAAAAAGCACATGAAAACGTTTTCATTACAAGAATAAAATTATAGAGAAGTTGCTTACCGAACTAGAATTTATTGATCGCCATTTTTGGGTATGAAAAATATTAATGCCAAAAAAGAATCTAAACTTGTTGATGGATGAAAAAGAGAAAACATATTACATTACACTTTCTTGCTTTTTGCAGTAATATTTCTTGGATTTTTCTTTCGTTTGTAAACATTTGCTTTTTTGTCGATCTTCTTATTCCTGTGAATATTTGTTAGCCTAACGACTTGTCATTACCATGAATGCTGTTTCTGATATAACTCATGTACTCAAAAATAAAATAGCAAAAGTATAAGGAAAACAAGTAAGAGTGTGAAATTCAGAACTGGCACTATCCAGAATTATTATTATAGTAGTGTGGAAAATTAATGAGGATGGATGAAAACTTCAAATGGTAAAGGACTTTTTAAGATTTATCACCACAATTAGAGGCAATCTTGGATACACACTGATTTCTACAGTAATTACTAGAAATTATCAACTTCTACCAGAAATATAGTCAGCATTGATTTCATCAAATAACAAGCTGCTAACACCCCGTTAATTACAATACTTTCCTCTTTTCAATATATTTTACAAAAAATAAGACTCTGCAAAAGAAAACGATCAGATCAGTTAAACTGTAATGCATTCCACACAAATGTGAAGAAAGCAGAGAGTTTAGTTAGGTTAGTCAACTGATGTTTAAAACTGCACTCTCAAGTAACTTCTTATGCAAATTCATTGAATGTAATCAGACAGTCACGATGGAATCGCTGAAGAACCAAGCATTCAGAGTAAATTTTGGTTGGAATATTACACTGAAGTCAATGTTCCTCTTTTCTTAAACTGAAACGTCACTTAAAGAGGAGTAATTATTAATCACTTCAGCACAAAGGCGTCCCCGAATTATTTGATCCTTAATCTTTTTGCAAGTGAAGTTGAGAATTAGAAAATCGAATTTTTTCCCGTTGAATGATCTCTGAACAGCGAATTCTGTCCTCTCATTGCTTTTTCTTGACCCTTTTGTTTTCTGTATCCTTCACTCTTCTCTTCAGCTGCTTGCCTTTAGCCAGAATGTTTTTCGTACTATTTCGATGAGACAGACTGTTAATTTTTCAATTTCTTAACCTTCTTTTCCTAAGGATTTTCTTTTTCTTTCATCTTCTTTGAGCAAACGTTCACAATTCACATACACACATACACGCAGCATATATAATATATATGCACATGCAAACATCTGCATATATAAAACACGTATGCCATGCATTAATCGGTGTGTAAATGGACATTTGGGAACAAGCAAATAAGCATTGATGCACAGACAAATAAGCAAACATTTGAGTAATATTTCTGTGCTGCAAAGCGATCACCTGTATGCCTGATGTTTGCTTAGCTTGCAGTTAATGTTTTTTTGTTCCAAATTTTGTATTTAAAATTGAACACATGGGGATTTCCTTCATTTGTCACATGTAAGTTATTATGGATTTTCTCTCTAAGCAAGTCATGGCAGCTGTATGAGATTTAATATTCGCTGACTGCATGCTGCTAGCTTAAAGGAAATGCGTAATTTAAGATCACTTGTGAAGAAAACAGAGCAAAGTTGAAGTAGCTATGCCCAAAATTAAAATAAAACATGAAGCCACGCATTTTATGGCAGTTCCTAAATACATTCTTGAGAGAAACGCTTGAGAAACATAAAACATTTACTTAGTTTAGTTTTAAAAGTCTGTATGTGCCCAGGAACGATATTGCTCTCAATATGATTCCCAGAACTGTCAATGGAAGTTAATCTTTTTATCTGCATTATTGATTCTGACGCTGGGGTGTATTCTGTCATTCTCGCTGCACTCGACCCGCGCTTTTGTGGTGATCAGATCTGTTGTGCTGGCCTCCACTTCCTCGTCCAATCTACGGCGCTGATCGAATAAAATGCTTCCGAGCGTCTTCTTGAACGCAATCGATTGCATATGCTTTGACGTGATTAGATATACTGATTTCCTTCACTTAAAGTTTATGGAAGCTCGTCACTATCCCATCCTAAGCCCATCATCAATTCCGGAACTATGTTCCTTCTCCATTTCATCTCTGCCCCGAGTTCATTTTATGGAGATATGGAACTTTTTACCGTAAAGAAAGTGACACTTTTCGCATACAAGTCTTCGCTTATCAAACTCATAAAATCAATGCAGAATTGGTCTATCCTGAAAGTCTCGTCATTCCATTTTTTTTAATAATAATAATTATAAACTGTCCTTAGTAATAATAATAATTGTTATAATAATAATTATTATTATTATATAATTCGATCAATCACTAAAATAATGATAAGCAGGACTACAATAGAAGTAACAGCAACTATCTCAATTTATTAATATCGTCATTATAACTATTATAATAATAATGAATAATAATTTTTTTCATAATTTGTTAATTATTCGTAATAATTTGTTAATTATTCTAATTCTGACTTTTGGATTCTGTCCTTAGTAATAATAATAATTGTTATAATAGTAATAATTATTATTATTATCTAATTATTCGTTCAAAAACTTCAATTCTAATTTCGAAATCGGTGGTTACAATCATTATAACTATTATAATTATTACCATAATAATAATAATAATAATAATAGTAATAATAATAATTATTATAATTATTATAATAATTATTATTATCATTATTACTACTAACAAATAGTGATAATAATAATAATATTATTATTATCATTATTACTACTAACAAATAGTGATTATAATAACAACAGTAAGGACAGAATCCAAAAGTCAAAATCCAGAGTTGTTCAGAGGTCATACAACGCAAAAAGATTGGATTTTCGGACATCTGAATCCTTTATTTCACTTTCAAAAAAATTAGGCGTCAAATATATGGTGAAAAGCCGTTATGCTGAAATGATTAATAATTAATTCCTTTTTTCTTCAAGTGGAATTTAATTGTTGTTTCTAGTAATTAATAACAACAAGTAGTAAGTATAATAATTGCAGTAATAATTATTATATTTTCTACTACTGGTATAATATATTATTAATGTTAGCAATAATAATGATTATAAAAACAATTGTTATCGTATAATTGACATATATCACTCTACAATAATTACTTTACTAGAAGCTTAAATCATTTCAACTGCTAGACTTTGTATTAAATTCATATTATATAGATTTGGACACAAAGGTGCATTTGGTAATGAATTATATCCTTTCATGCTTAGTACTGGTGTCAAAGTCAGAATTACCTTTAGTATCATTCTGATGTAATTAAAATTAGTCATTCGATAATACAATTAATAGCCTACGTTTCCTTGCTGCAGTAACTCGTGCATATGAATGAAAGGTCCGCAAAAAACGCAGTAGAAGGGCTTTGTTTTCGTTGTTTGTTTAGATTCATCTTTGCTTGTGTTGAAATGGTAGCAAGTTTTTTCTTCCCTTTCACGTTGTTGTAAATATATTTCTCGAAGAGCAGAAACGGTCGGTTCTCAATAGCTAGAAAACGATCAGAACAGTCTGTTCAATTCATTCAAGCCATAACTTTCTATATCACTGTGCGAAATACTTACAGAACAATGAGTTCTGTTCATCTTTTCACCAGCAGTCCTCTTGTTTGTTAGTGAATTAATAAAGTGTTTCTGATGCAATCTGTGAATACATAAATAAAAGAATCGAGATATTCTTTGTGAAGGAAAAAAAAACTGTCTGATTACATTCAATGAATTTGCATAAGAAGTTACTTGAGAGT